ATTTAATTTAATTTAATTTAATTTAATTTAATTTAATTTAATTTAATTATGTGCGGCCCAAACCAAATTTTCATCTTCTAATGTGGCCCAGGGAAGGTGAAAGTTTGGACACCCCTGCTCTAAACTGTCTGGACAGCACAGTAACATTACATTATAATATATTGCACCAATATGAACATGTTGCGCCAGTTCTGCAAGTCTATCATACTACATCCTTATGATGTTATGTTGCATTCAGGAGTCTGACAGACCACGGATAAAAGCTGTTCTTCAGCTAGTTCGTAGGACTGGCTATGCTTCTACATCTCCTACCCGATGGTGATAGAGCAATGGTGGATTTCCAAATTTTTTCCTAACCCGTTCTATGAGAGGTTGTCTGCACGCGCGCTTCGCAGTGTTAGGAAACTTTTAAGAGGATTTGCCAATCTTTAGAAAAAATGGATCATTTATCAGTCATCACTTATGGCTATGCTGTAGGGTTAGTAGTTTGTGAGTCTCTAATGAAATCTCTTTCAAAGATCTACTGTGCCATCTTTGACTACCTCCACAAATGAAGCCAAAGTAAAGCCGGTGTAATTAAGTTATTAAAGTGATTAGAACGGTTGAAAGGAAAAAGTCAGCCATGTACCCAAAGACAAATTTTGTTCCAAAAGAATTACAAAATCGCAAAATGCCATTTAAAAAAAACTGTACCGAGGGGCTGGCAACAGAACAGAGGAAAATGATTACTAGAAAGCAACATCGCTACATTCATTCGCACCTACAACCAGTGATCCGAATCTTACAAGGATTCAGGACCCAACAAAGCCGAATAGGCACAGTTCGCTCTTCCACGCCGACAGCTCATGAGAATGCTAAAAACAGAGCGTGCTGGAACCTGTAGTTCGCTCTATGTTTTTGGCTCCTTGCTATAAGAGGGGCGGGTTAAGCGTAAAGAATGCTCATTCGTTCTTGGAGACGCCAATCTTGGGTGGCTGTTGACCATAGCAACTGAACGACGCCTGTTGCGAAAAGGAGCTTTCAGAGGGAGGGAAAAGAAAAAAAGAAAGAAAGAAAGAAAGGGGGAGTAAAAAACGGAGAATAACTTCATAAGCGGTAAGTAGTGATCTCTGAGAGAGGGAAAAGGGGCGTAGTGGGAACAAAGCTCCCTCGGGAGTTTGAAACAACAAACAAACTTGTGCCCAACTGAAGCATCCTTTCCCCCTCTCGAAAAGCTGGACTACATAACAACACGTTCACAGGCTGTCCTACTGGGAATTGTAGCCCGCTCCAAAGGAATGGAGCCCAGACTGGCAAGCATTGTTTCCACATTTTCTCTTCATTGTGCCAGGACTAAAGCTACATAGTTATTTGTGTACCCATTGCACAGATAGGGAAATAGTGGCTTCCTTCCACCTTATCAAAGAGCTGAATGAATCCCGGACTCGCTCATAGTAGTTTTGCAGCATTGCTGGCTTTTTGTCAATGGGAACCTAGGGCAGCTGAAACAAGAGAGTTGGTTTATCTTAATCAGGACAATCCTAAGACATTTTGCTACCTAAAGCAGAGCCTATATAGGTGAAACTCGAAAAATTAGAATATCGTGCAAAAGTTCATTTATTTCAGGAATGCAATGTAAAAGGTGAAACTAATATATGAGATAGACTCATTACATGCAAAGCAAGATAATTCAAGCCGTGATGTGTCATAATTGAGATGATTATGGCTTACAGCTCATGAAAACCCCAAATCCACAATCTCAGAAAATTAGAATATTGTGAAAAGGTTCAATATTCTAGGCTCAAAGTGTTCCACTCTAATCAATTAATTAAGCCATAACACCTGCAAAGGGTTCATGAGCCTTTAAATGGTCTCTCAGTCTGGTTCAATAGGAATCACAATCATGGGAAAGTCTGCTGACCTGACAGTTGTGCAGAAAACCATCATTGACACCATCCATAAGGAGGAAAAGCCTCAAAAGGTAATTGCAAAAGAAGTTGGATGTTCCCAAAGTGCTGTATCAAAGCACATTAATAGAAAGTTATGTGGAAGGGAAAAGTGTGGAAGAAAAAGGTGCACAAGCAGCAGGGATGACCGCAGCCTGGAGAGGATTGTCAGGAAAAGGCCATTCAAAAGTGTTGGGGACTTTCACAAGGAGCGTACTGAGGCTGGAGTCAGTGCATCAAGAGCCACCACACACAGACGGATTCTGGACATGGGCTTCAAATGTCATATTCCTCTTGTCAAGCCGCTCCTTAACAACAAACAACGCCAGAAGCATCTTACCTGGGCTAAAGAAAAACAGACCTGGTCTCTTGCTCAGTGGTCCAAAGTCCTCTTTTCTGATGAGAGCAACTTTTGCATCTCATTTGGAAACCAAGGACCCAGAGTCTGGAGGAAGAATGGAGAGGCACA